TTTTCTAATCGATCCACGGAAGAGGAGGTACTTTGGCAGTACTGCTAGTAGACTGTTGCTTTTTTTACTGAAGAATAAAAGCACCTGAGCTATAGATGATTGTTTTGATGGAGTATGGTGTTAAAAATGTGCTGTATTTTTGAAATTTTTTATAAAAGCTTAAGGAAGGAAAATTCGAAAAATCAATAAATGTAGAGTACGAAAATTTGAATTCTACTGTGCGCATGAAAATGGAGAAGAGGGAGAAGAGGATGATATGAACTACCTGTGACAGATCCGTTAATCCTTCACTGATACCGCCATGCATACATAATATTCTTTTCGCAATACGAGCACAAAATGGCATGCAATAAAATGCAAATTGGAAGCACTCATAGAGAACCACCGAATATCTGTACAATGACAAGTTTTCAGAGAAAAAATTTGAAATTTTGATCCTATGATGCAGCTCTAGGGGTAGGACCTGATATGGCTACGCCCGACATATAAAGGCGTTTTAAAAATATCACTAAAATGGGATACCCACACTGATAACTCAGACGATCGTGGTAATCCTGGTAATAAATGTAACTATCTGAATATGGTTTATCCAACACTTCTGAAACAAAATCCTTTTTCTTTCACCCCCTCATGCTCTTTCCTTTCCCACTCCTCATTTTTGTGTTAGTTTCCCTAAACACGTAAATTTAGAATTCCTGAGAAATTTTTTAAAAAAATCCTAACCGTTTAGTACATTCCGTATAAAAGCCATATTGCTTGTTAACTGGCCGTGATTCATGGTTGCCACGCAAAAGAGTTACTATATCTGGATACAAAACCTTAAATTATATGATATGTGTTTTTGTGTAAAAATGCACTCGTTCTATATTCTTCTGTTTTAAAAATGCTTAGTTTTGGTTAATTCCTAGCTCACCTGATTTTAAAAATCGGGTTTTCTATTTTCTTTTATCTTATTTTGCCAGTTTGTAATATAATAATTACATTGCTTTTTAACTACTTGATATAATAGATCTATTTAGTGCCACAATATTAATTATATCTTTATGTTGTTATTATCTTATACATGCACACATAGATATATAAACCCATATACAAGCTAAAAGACACCCGAACACACACGTTCAAGCAAGCACACATGCACACAGACACATACACGCAGGCACACATACACACAGACAAAAATACATAGAAGCATGTATGTCCACAGGCAAACACATGCATCCACACGTGCACTAAAGCACAAACAAGCATAAACACATACATTCACGCACATACACATGCATACCAGTTATCATTACTCATGTAAATAAAGTTGTTGAATTTTTGCGTCTGAAGCACATTTGCATGGAAATTACTCTTTAATCATAAATCGAATGACTAGCAGCATACAGAGCCTAAAATTTACCGAAAAAATAAGTGACTATTGTCAGCACAGCACTTTTTCTTGTAGAAGTATACTTTTGCTTATATGTGGAGATGAAAGCAATAATAATAACAAAATAATAATGGTAGTAATAATGGTAATAATAATATCAATAATAATGACAATAATGATAATAATTTTTATACATACTATGAAATATGGAATTATTTAAAACAGACTGTGATAGTAGAAAGATGAAAAATAAATACAATACGTATGTATGCATGGACTCATGTATGTATCACAAAAATTTCCAAAAAGTGGAAACCCAGCATGCGTTTCTCAAAGAAAAGACATTCTGCTCACAGTGTTAGTTGGGAAATTCAGCGGGAATACTGTTGTTTTCATAAGGGAAACTAACTTTGTAAGCAAACAGAAGTACGATACATTCAAGAGAATATGGTCCACGATCAACATAATCACCGAGGAAAAGATACTGCCTGGATGGTGGAAAGCCATTGAGAGTGAACAATGCCATGAGGTCTTCGAATTGCCCGTGTATATCGCCAACAACATAGATCGGTGGTTCCACCTAAATACAGCAGAATTTTGTACAAAGATGGACAAAGCAGATTATTGATTGCTGTCGGGAATACTACTGTCCCTAAAAGTGAAACTA